TGAAATATGTCCCAAACCACATGTGTGCTCACAGGTATATGTGCTAAGAATAAATTTTTCCGACTCCGCCAACCTTCTACAATAAACCCGCCACTTGCACTTTTGGTCACGACATGCAATCATCATAGGCAATGAATTTGACTTTTTGGTGATGAACTCAAAATTACCTCTCACGGCAACAAGTTTTAGCTTTCTCACCACTTCATCTTTGTTGTCAAATAAATACCCTATGCCCAACTCTGATCCATCCGTAAAAACATGAGCTGATTCACTACTACCTGCAATTGCCCCCTCTGAACCTACTTAAATGGCCAATGTGTTCTCTTCCTCACAAACTACACCTTCTGCATAATCTGTATTTAAGGAATCTCTACATCCGCGGGAACATGTACGGGGTCCTCCTCCTCAACATTTTCATTATGCCCCCCATGACCAACCTCTTCTACAGTGTCCTCCTCACCACCCAATTCACCTTCTACTCTTGATTTTTCAACTAACAAATCATTGCCGCCCTCGTAGTTCAAATTAAAACCAGGCAACTCTCCGCCAACTTCCTTGTTATCCCCTTCCTTTGAACCAACTTCCGATAGTTTTTCTACAAAAGAAACCCTTAAAATCGGCCTCGAACCATTATCGGCCACATCAATCATATATAACTTCACACTTTCATCTGACTTTAATATAGCAGGAGGTACCTTATAACGTTGAGGAACTCTGCTTAAAACATACTTCACAACTATATCACTACGTGAGCAACTCAATTCACCTCTTCTAATTATTTCATCAATCAACTCATCAAAACTAACCTCTGTGCTCATGGCAATTGGTATAACTTCTTTGCTCTTCCCAATCCACTTCCAACTACTTTCTTCCTCCACCCACTCACCAAATATTCAACACCCAAAACAACTTGTCCCATGTCTCATAATAACCAACTACCTCTAATGCAAGGAAAAAACTGTTCTTAATTGAAGTACTAAGGGTTGAAATATTTTAAAAAGCATCTACACAGTCGCTTGACAGATCTGGTGTATCGCTTAAGCGATCTGATATATCGTTTAGGTATGTGGCATAAGATCGCAAGCGATCTGCTGCTGCTATACACCAGACTTTTAACAGATTGCTTAAGCGATCTTATGCTGCATACTTAATCGCTTAAGCGATCTATCTGCTGTATTACCAGCATACCTAATCGCTTAAGTGATCCATCATATCTAGAGCACATTTTCAGTCTCTCCGCCTACAATCGGTGCTACCACCCCCAGCTACCCACAATGCAAGACATTTTTCAACAAATTTCACTCCTTTCAACTTCCATTGCATCAAACACAACCTAAACAACTAAATCAAAATCATAACCAAAACCCAATCCATTATTAAATCTTTGTAAATCAAAATATAAAATCGAAAGGGGAGATACACATACCTGGACGAAATGTCACGAGAAGGAGGAAGAGGATGGCGACGACGATGATCTGTGTTGGAGAAGATGTCAATGGCGGAGGAATGCGTTAATGTCGCGGGAGGAAGAAGAAGGTGTTTGGGTTTGTTTGCAAGAATTTCAACTCTTTGGTGACATATCATGATTTTTAAAAGATTACAGAATTATTCATTATTCGTAATTAACCCTAATCAAGTTCAATTAAGCTTAATAAAAAACATGGCTATTTAGTTAAATTTTACAAACTGTATAGCCTTTTAATTAAATTTTAACTCTAAATGGTCTTTTAATAAAATCCCCCCTGGTTTCCCATAGCAGCAGCAGCAACTAGAGTTGTCACTATGGCACATTTCTTTAAAAGGAAGTCAAATATAGCTAAGCCCTTTCTGTTTGGACTTTTTTCTGGCCTTGGAGCCGGTATAAGAGGCACTTTTCCTCTCACAACAACACTTGATTCGGGGACAATAACGGTAGTCGAATTACTCCTCATTTTCGTCGAGTGCAAGAGACTTGAAGCTTGAGATGAGAAGTTGAGAGTGTTGGTTAATGAGAGAAGTGAAATGTGTTGTGATGAAGATGGTTGAATGAATAAGGCTTTGAGGTAGTGCTCTGGAGATCTACAAATGCGGAAGCTAAATTCCTGTTTTGGCTACTAATTCTTATTTACTTCATTTATGTTTTAGTTTTGATTTTGCAATTAGATGCTACTATAAGCAAGCTCAAAAAAGACAGGTTTTCTAAGGTCAGAGACAAGACCATAATTATTCTTCGAAAGCTGAAAAAGATTATTTATATGGTCTTTAAAAAAAAAAAATCAGATAAAAAAAAAAAAAAAACTGAAGGGTATTTAGATAATTTCAAACCTAAAATTTTCAATAAAAAGAAAAAAAACCTAAAATATTTTAAAAATTCGTGGGTGCTTGTTCAATTATAAAAAACCACGATATTTTGAGGGTAGAGAAAAAAAAAAAAACTTAAAATATGAATTAGAAACTCAATCAGAAAACCAGTGATGTTAACAAAAAAAGGCAACATTAGTAACTTAGTATAAGAAGTTTTGAAATATTACTGATAAAATTAGGTATATTATCTTTTGGCGCAACGAGATAAACAAGGCTAGTACTCGACCACACCTTTAGAACTGATAACACAAGTCTCAATCCAGAAACTTAAACTTTAAAATCAGAAGTAAAATCTAAATAATTTATTGAATAACATCCAAAATAAAAAATAAGTTTATATAGGGTGACAACCAACCCTAATAAGACTCCTAATAACAAAAGGAAACAAAAACTAAATTAATTAAAACAAGAAAATTCGAAATAAAATAGGAAAAAACGCGTAAACAACTAAAATAGTCTCGAAACACCCCAAAATGGTGGATTTTGACCTCGACAATTATCTCCAACCAGCTCAAAGCTAATTTTCATGTCGACAGGCTCGAAATAAACTTTCAAACGGTATCTTACGGGCCTCATTACTTTTTCTGGATCAAAAGTTATGGCCGTTTGAATGAGACATGTTTATTTAAGACCTTTGGGTTTTACGCATAGACTTTTGACGTTTAACTGGCTCCATGAATTCATCCGCCAGACGTTCTACATAATCTTTTGTAACAAAAAGAAAATAATAATATGTCAATGATTTAACATAAAGATAATAATAACCTCAAAGCTGAGAGATAACAACAATGAATTTAGGGCATATGTTTGGTAGCATTAAAGACACTGCATAGCACTAAATAATGCAATATTGTATTTGGTAACAAAATTGTATAGCATTAAATAATGCCAAGGTCGAAAATAATGCAATATATTCTACATAAAATAAGGTCAAGTAAAACTATGACATATGTTAATGCAATTTATTTGACATTAATTTTAAGCAAATAAACAGTGTCAATTAATTTAATATTTATAAATTAAACTATAGCCAACACCGATCAGTAATATTAACCACCGTTTGATCAACATTGACTGGTGTTTAACCTAAGTGGACAAGTGTTTGACTGGTATTGACCAATGTTTGACCACTGTTTTGACTTTTGTTGACCGACATTGATCATTAACCCATTTATCTTTTTACTTTTTTTTTAATTATTAGTTAAAAAATATATTAGTTTTTAAAAAATGAATTTTTGTTAGAGAGCAAAAGTAATATTATGCAATGTAATTCATATGCCAAATATAACATAGTATAAAAATATTGCAATGTTCTACCAAACATCACACAACATTTAACAAAATATTATATAATACAAGACAATGCTATATTGCTATGCAATTTATTTAACGTGTGCCAAACATTCGACTATTATTAAGTTGGCCGAACGACTTACGCATATCCAAGGTTTGCCGAAACGATAAGTTGGTACCTAAAAGGTTTTGAAATGACAAACAGGTACCTTCCGTCATATGCTGTTAGTGATTTCTATTTGTTTATAGTGAAAAGACTAAAATGCTCTTAAAAGTTTGATATTTTAGTTTTTTATAAATTTCTAAAAAACCTCCTAGGTTTGCTAATTTAACTAAACACCCCTATATATAAAAAGTTTGTTAAATGACAAAAATACCCCCACACCCGCAGTGCCAGATTTCGGCCACCACCGCCGGAATCTGGCCGAAAAATTGTATTAACGTATCGATCTGGCCGTCGAGGCAGCAGATGGAGTTTTGCGGCCTTGATTGCCAGATCTGGCCTTTTTTGGCCAGATTCATGCTGATCTGGTTGGAAAAGGCCAGATCTACGGCTAGATCTGGCCGTCGTGGCAGCAAAACTCCATCTGCGGCGTCGACAGCCAGATCTGGCCGTAGATCTGGCCTTTTCCGGCCAGATCAGCCACGAATCTGGCTGAAAAAGGCCAAATCGATGTGTTACGACATAGATCCGACGGGGTCTGTGTCGTAAGGCAATTTTCAGCCAGATTCCGACAGTGATGACCAGAATCTGGCACTACAGGTGTGGAGGTATTTTTGTCATTTAGCAAAATTTTTATATATGGGGGTGTTTAGTTAAATTAGCAAACTTAGGGGGTTTTTTAAAAATTTATAAAAAACTAAAATATCAAACTTTTAAGGACATTTTAGTCTTTTCACTATGAAGAAACATAAATCACTAACAACACATGACAGAAGATACCTGTTTGTCGTTTCAAAACTTTTTGAGTACCAACTTATCGTTTCTGTAAACTTTGGGTATGCGCAAGTTGTTTTATGTGTTTGAGATATTTTCTCCTCTTTTTATAAGACAAATTAGGTCAAAGTTTTTAGATTAATAACGTTAACATAAATGTTAAAATCAATCTATTGATTAGCCTGTTACATTATAATTCTAAATAAGTTTCTACCATTTAAACCCCATCCTAGTATAAATTAGACTCAGTTTAGAACCTGTTGCACAATCCAGTTCAACTAGAAACTTTTCATGCCAATCAAATTCAAAAACAATTTCTGTTTTTTCTCTATTAAGATTACTATGGACTCTCCACATGTGGCTGTAACATGCCGAATTTAAGATTAAGATATGCTCGATCTTTCTTATGCGTTCACCCAACTCTAACTAGTCGATCTTTCTCTTTCTATGGATTCCTATATAGGTTTAGGTTTTGTTGTTGGATCAAAATCTTTTCTTCAGATACAGTGACTACAAACATATTACATTGCTATGACCGAGAGCTATTAATTCTCTTTAGTCAAATGGATCTATGCGAGGATCATGCTCACTTGCCATCAGCATACCAGTACACAAGCATGTCGGGCACATAACCTAAATAAAGCATGGAAGATGATTAGCAAATGCAACTCAGTAACAATGAAGTTGATAAAATTTTGTTTCAGAGCAGAAGCATTATGATAAATCAACTTGATAACCCCTACAAGTCATCACGTGCACATGACTTAAACTATGAAGCAAAAGAATCAGTAACAGAGATTATCTTATACGCTAAAGTACAAGGAGGCAACTACATGCTAGTTGAATATGAAATTATCCATATTTTATCATCATGTTCCTACGAATGTTCTATAGAGCAGCCACTATATTCAGGGAAACTAGTTCACTTTGGAGGCCATTTGGGAGATCCTCAAATTGAAAGTTGTTTCTGAGTATGTAGATTCTAATGTCATTTTAAATAGTTTTATACCTTAAGATGACAAAATTGACTCTATGCTTCAGATAGCGTGGTTTTCAATCTTAATGCAACCTAATTCATCCAGGTTCAATTTACTGTTTAAGAGAATGTAAAATTTATTTTCATCAAAAGGACATAAATGAATTCTCTCCAATTCTGTTAGCATCAGAATTTTGTTACTATTTATATAAAAATTGAAACTAAACGGGTTTAAATGGTTTTTACTGACATCCAATTGTAAAAGACCCCAGGGAGAAGTATGGTAGAACACAGAATCATAACTACATAATATGACTTGATATTTTATAATCTTTCTCTGATGATTTTACCTTTCCAGCACCAGAGCAGCTAGTACATCTCTGAGTAGTGGGAACTAGCAAAGGCTGATCAGAGGCATTGGACACTGACATAGGATCAATGCTCAAGCACACTCCACTTGAAGAACATCTTGCGCACGCCAAGTATCCTGTCCAAGAAGTTATATGTTTATATGTCAACAAATTATTCGAACTCATAAAAAGAAAATCTAAAAAGTAATGAAAGTAAAGAGGCAAGACATAAGAAGCTTCTTTTTTGGTTTCCTTTTTAGGTTACGTATAACAGAGACACAAGGATCTGAATGTCATAATAACAGTAAAATATGCATAGCATAATCCAACGCAAAAGTAATTTAGCCAGCTTTAAGCACTTCCATGTATCAAGTTAGATTTAGATGAATTATTTTCATGACTAAACATTATATTAATTTAGCCAATCTATTTGTTTTCACAATCAAAACTTTGTGTCCTAGAAGTTACCTTATATAATATGCTGGCAGCAATCAGTAAGAAAGAGAAAAATTTATTTCTAGGAGCACAAAGTGGGCAAAGTTCAATTATTCTGAGATGCGCATTGATACATACCACTTCCATGGCAATATTTACACCTTTTCTTCTCTTGTCGCTCAACATTGCTAGCTTCAATTAACATCAAAGCCGAAATGACACCCACTGCCCCACCTGAAAAGGATGCCACGATGGGATCGACCTGACTAAATTCAGAAACCAAAGAAATTAGACATGGAATTGAAAGCATAAGCAAAGCTGAAGTTCATCAACACAAACAATTTTTTGACATCAGATTTGAAACCAACAACTGGGACAAAGACAGGTTAATTGAGTACCTCAATTGCATTGGCAGGTGCATGCCACGTATGAAATCTTCATATGAGGTGCCCCCTAAGCCTACTTTCAACTCCAGCTGCCATTACAAACATATTTTGACATTGAATAGTGGTGAGCGTTTAAAGAATATATTTGGTGGCCTTATTGCACCAACAGTAAGTAAAATATGTTTGTAAAAGAACAATACAGGTACAAAACTCAATCCCAGCAAAATGAAAAGCACATGTATTACAATTATTTGGAGCTAGTGAAAGGAAAAACATTATACCCCACCCTGAATACCCTTAATTTTGATCAAATTTCTGTAAAATTCTCCACATTTTCTTTGTCTACCACCCATCACCTGGCCACTATCTTGCATTGCCAGGCATACAATCAAAGCTCAATCTGAAAATATAAGGCCTTTGTCCCAATTTTTTCAAATTAGCTTCTCTTTTATATATATTGTTTGTCCTTAATTCTCTCATTTCTTTTTGTAATCACCAAAATCATTAATCTGACATACTCAAATCTTAGACAGGTGGCCTTCGCTTCTGATCTCTTCTTGTTGAAGAATTATCCCTAACATGCTACATTGCGTAAAATACTAAAATTTGTTTATTTACAATCATGCATACAAAGCTTAAACTTTAGTGTCGATACTACGACCTTCAAATATTTTCTTCAGGAATTGTGAAAACCTAAAACTCCTAATATCTGCATTGATAATCCAAATGATATGGCTGCCAAAAAAGTTGACATTTTTCAGTCCAAAGAATATTTTCTGACATTCAAAAAGCTTATTGAAGTTCAATCTATCTCAGACAACTATCAATATACAAAAAATGGTGACATTGTGACTAATGATTAGGCAAAAAAACATCAAATAAAAAGGTCACTAATTAATGAAACTTTGAGTTGAACCCATTAAGTCAGAAGAATGTCCCCTGCTCATGTGCTACATGTTTCTCCTTCATTCAGCTTGTTATCTCAACTTCCCCAGCTTATGAATTTTAAACAATGAAACAAAAAAACATTCTACATGGATGTATGAACAAGAGCATGAGTACATATATTTCTCAGCGTTTTCATTTCTAGTGCAGGAAGTACTACATTATTGGCTGATTATTATCATAAAACAAAGAAGATGCTATAAGTCTCATGCTTATAACAAATTTGGCACAACAGAGTTAATAAGAATTCAAAAGCAGAGTGCATACCAAGTTATCAACTAGTAGTCATCAGCCAAAACTTAAAGACCCATCTTATAAAGTTAACACTTAACTACTTGCTTGTCTGAATACATAATTACTACTAGCACCATTCCTAGTCTTGCTGTTTCTCTCTCTCCTCTCATTCTCACCACTTACACACTAGTTACACCTTAAACTCTTCAGTTCCCCCTGTTGCAAGTACTTGGTACAAACATAAGCGGCGAGAACAATTCCTTCCAGTCCAGACATAAAAACTCTTAATAAAAGTGCTTGAGTACAAACATAAAGTGAACTAGTGAAATAATTTATCATAAAAACTGATTCGAAAGTGAACAATGAGCATTAATCTTCGTAACACTTACAGTTGGTGCGATAAGGCCTCCAAATACAATAATCCCAGAGATAAATGACAGGCTTGTCAGATAGAGCTGCTTCAAGGTCTTTGGCGTCTACTTAAAAATGAAAAAGAACAAGATTAGCTGCAGAAAGCTAACAAACTCTCACAACCACAGATCTTAGAATGATGAAAACAGAAACCTATGGGGAATGACGCCATGCTTTAGTTAAACATAAACTTAACAATGTTCCATTAGGCAATTGGAGCACAAATGATTTTTTACTAGTGGATATCTCAATGTTGTTCTGAAACACTCACCACACGAGGAAGAAAAGGAATAGATGATTGGATGTCAGGCATCTCATCGGCCTCTTCCACGCTGCTTTCATCAATAACTTTCAAAGTCTTTATGCGTTGCTGTACCCTCAATCTCCTTAACTATAAAAAATAATAATAATAACAAAATTGGGAAAAAAAAAGGACAATCTTGCATTAATTGAAATACAATTCAACAACACTAAACCGATCTAATTTCCTCAAATCATAACCTATAAAACAGAACTAATACACTTTGCCCTCTAATAATATAAATTGTAAAGACAGAATTAAATTGAAAAGTAAAAGAAAGCCAACCTCTTCCATGAGAAGAAATATCTTATTGCGCCTACTCTTAATATTATCTTGGATTTCTTTGAGCTGCATCTGGACAAAATCTTGAACAGTGTCTGGACCTTCTATGATACAGAAGTTGCTGGCAAAAGAAACAACATAAGATTCCAATTATCTTGGGAATTCGCTATATTAACATCCCTACTATAAAAAATAAAGAAAGAAAATTCATAAGAAATGAAAAAAAAAATAAAAAAAACCTGTTAATGTTGTCAGAGGAGGAGGGTTTGGAAGAAGAGAAGATTGATGTACGCGGGAAACGTTTGGATGAAGGGAAAGGTTGATGGCATCCATTTGAAGAAAAGAAAAGAAGGGTTTTGGAGTTGGAGTTATGGAGCTTTAAGTTTGGTGATAAAAAATTAGAGGAGAAGCAGAAGCTAGTAGCCATAGCCATTGTTGTTGGAGTTCGTGTAGAGAGCAGGTTGTTGATGGGGTTGGACATAAGATGACACTAGATGTCAAAAGACAGTTCTATACAGGGCCTTTACTTTAAGCCCCTAACATTTTCCCAAGACTTTAAACGCTCTCAAATAATGGCAATTATATGCTTAACGCTCTACCGTTAGGATTTTTACCGTTGTACGTAGGATATAGGGAACAAGAGTAAAAAAATGTAAAAGTCCCGACGGACTCAACCTCTTTTCCAGGAAACCTCCTTATCCCTGTCGAATTAGGAAAGCACTAGATTTTTATTATAAATACTAGTAAGCTGGATACAACTTCTTTCATCTTTTCTTCTTTCTTTCCCTCTTCTCCTTTCTCCTTGTCATTCTTTCTTTACAAGTAATTATCATGGATATCACACAAGTTTGGAGAAGTAATTTTCATCAACAGATTTCTTCTTTTGATGGTGCACTGCATCGGTTTAGAGTAATTTGTGTTGGAGTTGTCGACTACTTCAGCATTAATGGGTAACGGAGACGTACTCGGGGGTCCCGTTGCCCGGTGAGCGGGCGAGTGTCCCGCTCCCCGGTGAGAGGGCGGGGGTCGCGGGGGCAGCGCCCCCGAGCCCGTAGGCGGTTTTGGGCTTTTCCATGTATAACCGCTGTAGGATTTCTTTTAAGTTACAAATTCCTTTTTGGGTTGGGCTTAGGAATAAGAATCCTTGGCAAACTAGGTTTAATCTCTTAAACCTAGTATATAAACATACTTTTCTCTTGTTATGGGGGTGAGAGCAATTCATTCATTGTAAACGAGAGAGGTGAGATATATTGCAATAATATTGACTCAGCTGGACGTAGCCTACATTGGGTTCTTTGTTTACTGTTTGTTTTGTTTTACTATTATATTTTGTTCCTGTTGTTGTCTCTATTTCGTTCAATTGGTATCAGAGTCAGGTTCTGTTAGATCGTGATTTAGAGATGGCAGGATCAAAGGTTGAGATTGAGAAGTTCGACGGCAAACGCTTCAAGCTTTGGCAACTGCAGATGGAGGATCTACTTGTTGATAGGGACCTATGGGGTGCAATTGTGAATGATAGGCCGACAGTCGGGACTGTCGTTGTTACGACGAGTGAAACGTCTGGAACTGGATTGTCAAGTACGCTTGGGTCTAAACCTGCTGAAGGAGAATTATCAACGACTGATCATGCCGCACTTGCTGAATGGGACAAGATGGATCGGAAAGCCAGAGGTTTGATTTGCATCTGTCTTGAGGACTCTGTTCTAACGAATGTGATGGATCAGGATACGGCTAAGGGTTTATGGCAGAAGCTGGAAAATATGTATCTGTGTAAGTCTTTGGTGAACTTGCTGTCCGCTGCAAGAAACTCTACAATCTCCGTATGCTGATAGGGATTCTCTTGCTGCACATCTGGATGAGTTTTATACTCTGGTGAATAACTGCTGGCTATGGATGTACAACTCACCGAATCTGAGAAAGTGGTAACATTGTTATGCTCGTCTGCCTGATACGTGGGACAACCTGATTGTTGCGATTGGTGGTGGAGGATTGACACAGATGTCGTGGGAATCTGTATGTTCTACATTGTTGGCAGAGGATATGCGGTGAAGAGGTTCAGGGTTCGTCTAGGGATGCTTTAACTGCTAAGGGACGAAACCTTGATAGGAATTCTAATAAGTCTGGCGACAGGGGAAAGTCGCGAGGTAGATCTAGAGCAAGGATAAGTAAATTAATGTTTGGAGATGTCAGGAATTTGGGCATTTTAAGAAAGCCTGCAGAAACAACGGTGAAGGGGAAGGAAGCTGAAACTTTGTACAAACGAATCAAATGGTGATATGTATGTGGCTGCTGCATGTATGGCTGGATCAGACCAATCTTCTGGTATTTGATACTGGTGCGTCGTTTCATATGACACCTCACAGGAATGGTTTTGTGATGTATGACATACAATGGAGAAACGTTCTGTTAGAGATATATGCTGTAAAGATTATTGGCCGCGGGAAAATCAGGCTGAGGTTGCATGATGGTTCAGTGAGGACGCTCCCTGAAGTATGCACATCCCTGGTATGAGTAGAAATCTGCTCTCTGTTGGAACAATGGCTGACGCAAGTATGTATTCAATTGTGACAGAACATCCTTAAGATGACTCGGGGATCTATGGTTATTGCACGAGGAGTTCGACATGGTACACTATACAGGCTGCAAGCATCAGTTGTAAGAAATTCCTCTTTGGGTGTTATGTTTCGGAAAGGAGGCTGAAAAAGAAATTGATTCTGCAACATGTGTGCATCAGCGAATGGGGCACATTGGAGAGTCGGCTTTGTCTACTTGGTGACTCAATATGGCTGAAGGTATTCCTAACTGTTCCATGATTTTGGGTTTGTGAGGAATGTTTACAAGGCAAGCAGAATCGGGTTAGTTTTCAATCGACAGGCACAGAGCAACAAAAATACTAGAGTTATTCATAGTGACATTTTTGGGCCCACTCCATGGAATCTGTTGGTAAATCCAGGTATTATGTTCTTTCATTGATGATTTTTCTAGATACTGTTGGGTTTATTTCATGCGCAGCAAGTCTGAGGCTTTTGAGAAATTTCGGGAATTTAAAGCCTTAGTTGAGAATCAGTTTGACAGGAAGATTAAAGCTTTGCAAACTGATAATGCGGTGAGTTTTGCTCTAGAGTTTGAGCAATTTTATGCGACACGGAATTGCAAGGCAGAAAACTACACCTTACACGCCTCAACAAAATGAGTGGCTGAACGTCTCATCGGTCACTGTTAGAGAAGGCTAGATGTATGCTGAATACGACAGATTTGGGGTCTGAATTTTGGGCTGAAGCTACAGCGATGGCTTGTTATTTGAGAATCGGTCTCCCACTTCTTCTGTTAAAGACATGACGCCATATGAAGCTTTGTATTGTAAGAAACCTAATCTGTCTTTATTAGAGTTTTGGTTGTGATGCGTATGTGCATGTGCCAAAGGAGAAGAGAAGCAAGCTTGACCGTAAATCTGAGAAGTGCAAGTTTGTGGGGTTCAAGGATGGCATCAAGGGATACAATGTGGGAATCCTGTGAGTAGAAGCATTACCTACAGAAAGAACGTAATCTTTAAGGTAAAACAACGTGTGAAACTCCTGAAGATCTTGAGCAGTCAAAGAAAATTCAGTTTGATGTGACTACTGTAGAGCAAGAGAGGAATGACTCCTAATGTTGCTGCAGAGACTGAAAATTTAGAGTCTACGAATCTGACAATGAAGTAAACTTGATAGTCTGATAGGGGGTTCTATGGATGTTTTAGATGATTCTGATATGAAGTTGTGGTGTTATCAACTTTGAGGAGATCTACAAGAGTTAGAAAGCACCAGTTCGTTTCTCCTAAGTGCCTTGAGTGGATTACAGCTTTGAATTTGATTGTTGATGAACCTAGGAATGTAAATGAAGCAAGAGCCATGGAAGTGCAAATCGTGGGAGGTTGCGATGAATGATGAGTGCGTCACTGGATAATAGTCATGATCCTATGTAAATTGCCTAAGGATAGAAAGGCAATTGGTTCAAGTGGGTGTTCAAAAGAAGTTGCAGCAGATGGAACAATTGCAAAGTATAAAGGCAGACTCGTTGCAAAGGGATTCTCGCAGATTGAGGTGTTGATTATGGTGAGATTTTCCTCCTATGGCCAAGTTAACATCAATCAGGATGTTCATCTATTGCTGCTGCGTTTGATCTTGAATGAGCAACTTGATGTGACGGCATTCTTACATGGAGATTTAGAGGAAGAAATTTACATGAGGCAACCTGAGGGGTTTGTATGTAAAGGGAAGGAGACTTTGGTGTAGGTTGAGGAAGTCTCTGTATGGGCTTAAACAATCACCAAGGATGTGGTACCAAAAGTTCGACTCCTATGTTCTTCAGCATGGTTTGCCGCACAACGTGGACACTGTGTGTATGTAAAAGGTTAGAAATGTCTTTGTTATTTTAACCTTTATGTAGATGATAGTTGCTGATAGGGAATAGCAAGGAGTTGATAAATTCTGTGAAGGGTCTGTTGGCTGCACAATTTGAAATGAAGGATCTTGGGGCTGTAAATTTTATTTTGGGTATGCAAATTACTAGAGATCGTCAGAGTTGTAAATTGTGGTTAGGGCAGAGAAAGTACACCGAGGAGGTGTTGAAGAAATTTAACATGGTAGACTGCAAACCTATGAAGACTCCTTATGACTTGGGAGTGAAATTGCTACTGACAGTGTCCTAAGTCTGAGAAGATGCAAAGAAATGACACATGTGCCGTATGCAGTGCTGTAGGTAGTTTGATGTGCCATGGTGTGCACGCGACCCTATTTGCACAAGCAGTCGGAGTTTTGAGTCGCTTTATGTCAAATCCTGGTAGAGGCATTGGAGTGCTGTAAAGAGGTTCTTAGATATCTTCGTGGGACCTCGGATTTATCATTATGTATGGAGGCATGGCGACTGGGGATGAGCTAGATGTGATAGGTTTTGTGGATGCTGATTGGGGAGGTGATCTCGATAGTAGGCGTTCCACAAGTGGGTATGTATTCTCTTTATTTGGTGCTGCTGTTTGTTGGATGAGTAAAAGGCAAAGTACTGTGGCTTTGTCATCGACTGAGGCAGAGTACATGGCATTGACACATGCTGGCAAGGAAGCTATGTGGCTTCGAAGATTGAGTTTAGAGCTTGGTTTCAAGCTTGATGCTGTGAAGATTGGATGTGACAATCAAGGGGCTATTTACTTAGCCAAGAATCTTGCCTTTCATTCGCGATCAAAACACATTGACATACAATACCATTTCATCAGGCAAAAGGTGGAGGAAAAATTGGTGTTGTTAGAGAAGGTTGATACACTTGTTAGTGCTGCAGATTTTCTTACCAAGGTTGTGAGCTTAGCAAAGTTTACATGGTGTGTTGATGAGGTAGGCCTTCGTTGTGTGAAGTTTTCGCCAAGTGGGAGAATGTTGGAGTTGTCGACTACTTCAGCATTAATGCGT